TTAACCAAAGTGTCCTAGAAAAACAAAATCGTAAACGTGCACATGGGCATGTATTTCTGTATCAGATTTAAATTGTCGCCTGTAACTCGAGCTCGGAGCTGCCTTTGATCGATGTCTCGTTGTGCCGCGGTTTATTTTTTTTTCTTTGCTACTCTGTCAACTAATCCAATTAGCAATGCCTCATTGGCCAATTGTTAAGGCAAGAAATTTGCGTCGGAAATCTTTAAATGTTTTTAAAATTTTCAAATTGAGCAGCTATACGAAAAAGTGGCTTGCTTCATTAAGAGTTTATTATGGGTGACTATCTTTGCAGGCACAGCAAAAGCTGATACAATTATTTCTGTGTGTGTGTGTGTGAGAGCGTGTGTAGTGAAAATTGTTTTGTGGCTTTGGCGTGAAAATATGGCAAGTATTTTCTTAGCTTTGAAAAGCAATGAGCGCCACAACAAATCATTGTCTGTCTAAAATCGAAAAATAAATTGAAGTGATTTCTGTGGCTATCTCTGTGCTTGCCACTCGCTCTCTCTCTCTCTCTCCCTCTCCCTCTTTCTCACTCTATCTCTCTGTTTCTCTCTGTGGCTGCTGACTTGTCCCTTGTGGCTTTTTGACCACATCCGCAACTCCTTTTTCGTGTGTGTCTGTGTGTGAATGCTCGTGTTGTTATTCGTGTTGTTTCTTTAAAAATGGCTTTGAACTTTTTGTGCTTTGCTTGAAACCAAAAACAAAAAAGAAAAAACCTTAAACCAAATGCCAAAACGTTAGACATGCAGTCATTCAGTCAGTCGGTCGTTGGGTCGTTAACTGTGCTTGTTGTCGGACGCACAGCATGACATTTGTTTTTATACCCTTGCAGGGGGGATGATGACTTTATTATGAAATGTACAAAGACATCTAAAGCGTATATATGTACATAGCATTAAATACAAAATAAATGAAGAGTATAATAATATTATTCATTTCAAGCAATATTTCTGTCTATCTCTGCAAAATCTCTTAGCAGAAACCTCAAAATTGTTTGCTGTACTAATTCGACAATTGCTTTACTTATTCATGAGTATCGCAAGAAATAGTTTGAGTTGGCATACTAAGACGACAAGATTTGATCGAAGAACACCAATCCATTTCGATACCGGGCAAGCTAAATCGGAATCGATGTCTGGAACACGCACGTATAACGTCAAACAACTATCAAGCGATCAAAATAATTAAATTTTTTTATAACTAGCGGGTATTCACTGGCCTAAACAAAGAGCCAAACCTCATTAAAATCGGATGAGATTTGCCCGAGTTATGGGGTTGGAAAATTTAGACCTACGTCTATGTAGGATATTTGTTGTACCATTTTTACATGAATTTTGACCAAGAATAATGTTGCCAGATTTAGATGCCAAATTTATCTAGAGCCCAAGCCATGAACAAAAAGCCAAGCTTTATGAAAATTGGTTGAGTTTTGACCGAGTTATTGGTGTGGGAAATTTCGACCTATGTGGGAAATTTAGACCTACGTCAATGAAGGATATTTGAGGGTACCATTTGTACATTAATTTTGACCAAGAATAATGTTGCCAGATTTAGATGCCAAATTTATCTAGAGGCCAAGCCATGAAAAAAAAGCTTAACTTCATGAAAATCGGACAAGATTCGACCAAGTGTAGGTGAGGGAAATTTTGACCTATGTAGCAAATTTTGACATATTTCTATATAGGATATTTGAGGGTACCATTATTGCTTGAATTTTGACTACGAATAATGTTGCCAGATTTATAAGAAATATGTATATATTTTAAATACAATTCAATTATCAAAGTTCAAACTCCTGCATTAAACAAATTGTGTTCTACTAGGTTCATATTAGAATATTATAAAAGTGACTCTTTTTTAGCTGCAGCAGCCTTTGTCAACTTTGCTTTTCATTATTTTTCCTTTCCTTTTTCCGATTTTTTCTTCGCAAATTTAAAGTTCAAATGCAGCTGCCGCGCGCTGTGGCAACGCATGGTTTCATATATATGTGACATGTCTGTAAAAACAGCTGTTCCAGTTGTGTGCGTGTGCGTGTGAATGTGTGTGTGTGTGTGTTGTGTTCATAAATTCAATTTCGTAAATGGATACAGAGCAAACGCTTCTCGCGTTTTGTCACATGCAACGTGCAACCGTGCAACCGTGCAACGTGTTGTTGCCGCAGCATCGCAAAGCTGCGACGCACAGCGACTGCGTCAGAGGTAGCCAAAGCCGAGTCCTGGTTTATTGTAAACCACCGCCCTGCCCGCAGCCACACACCCCCCCCTCCCTTTTGACACGCCCCGCTGTGGCTGCTGCTGCTTTGTCATGTCAACTATATATAATAAGTTTTGTCGCTTTGACTGCTGTCATTCAGAGGGCGAAAAGTTTGTCCAGCTGCAGTTTTCAGCTTTCCTCGGTTTCCGCTGTTTTCCCTTTTTCATTTTTACCCAACACATCTGACAGCACGTGGCCTGTGTGGTCGGTCGGTCAAACGGCGCGTATGAGCAATTTACTCAGTGTATTTTACTTATTGATTTTTTGTTGTTCCTTGTTACCTCAACAATATCTATATTTAGATTAGCTTCTATAAGGCAGCTGCACAAAATTGATTATTTATTAATCTGATATTCTTTGGTTTGAATAACTTTATCTATTTATTGGGCGTGTTTTCTCATGTTGTATTGCGATTATCATCTAAGAGCCTGGCTTTTTATTAAACCATTTAAATATTGCAATCGAGCCTATTTGTGATCCTTCAACTGACAGTTTGACTGCCAGCATATTAGTTGAGGAGAAAAGCACTAATTGATGACATGCGTTCTATGGAGAGTGGAAATCCAAAGCAGATATTTTTTATTCATTGTAACTTCTTTTATAAATTGAAAACTGATACGCAATCAAACCATTTGTTTAATAACAGATTGGGATTACCCGAAATCTTGATAAGGAAAGCAACTTTTAGCTTTAAGTGAGCTTTAACGATCTTAACCTGATGCAGGTTTTATGAACTGAAGCTTTTTTGAAGTAATTGTGTAATTCAAAGCTATTTTGCAATTTTAACTTTTAATACTCATCGTACTCATCATACTCAACTTAAATACAACTCTGCTTGCTACTTTTTCTCTACCCCTTTTTACTACTACATCTATGGGTATTGCTAATACTCATATTATTACATCTACCACTTCTTTGTTACTACTACTACTATTACTCCTACTACTTCTACTTTTACTCCTACTACTACTACTACTACTGATACTTTTACTACTACTACTATTACTCCTACTACTAATGCTACTACTACTGATACTCCTACTACTACAACTACTATTACTCCTACTACTACTACTTTAACTACTACTACTATATCTACTAATTTAACTACTTCTACTACTATTAATTTTACTTCTACTACTATTATTACAACTACTATACCTCCCACAACTTAGTAGCACAATAAATAGTAGTAGCAGTATTACTAGTATTACTTGTACTATTACTACTACTTCTACTACTATTTATTCTACTCTAACAACTTCTACTTCTGTTGCTTTGCTTACTACTCTCATATTTACTACTACTACTATTTCTCATATTTACTACTACTACTATTACTCCTACTCTTACTAATACTTTTGCTACAAATATTAAATGCCTTTTAATTCTTCTATGCCAATAACATCTACTACTGCTTTACCTACTCATCTTTTTTTTAAATTATCTAATTAAAAACTCATATTCAAATTAAAAATTCATTCTCGCGTACCTAAATTATACATTTATTGAACATGTTCTGCGAATATTTTCCCAGGGGCCGTGATTTCCTTTGGCAAATTGTCAAATTTAATTGTTTTTACGACTTTCCCTAAACTCTAAACAATTGAATTAGTACAAGTGGACGCCATTGTGCATGGCAGCTAACAAAATGGCTGCCCGGCTGCACGCACTTTATTGCGAGCAATGGCGGCGGCTGCTGGTGCTGCTGCTGCTGGGCGTTTATTGCATTCAGAAGACGCAACGGGCGTCATTTTGATGCGAATGCTCGACGAATGACCCGTATATCTTTCTAAGAGAAATGCTTCTCGTGCGCTTTGGGGAACGTACTCGTATTGCGCCATTATGAGTGGCATTTTCTGCAGTGCTCCTTTTATGGCAATTCTAGCGTTTTTTTATTTTTGCGATAATTTCATTTGGGTGAAACAAGTATTTCCAAGTGGTTTTCAGTCTTCGGATGCAGTCGAGCGGCACAGTTGAGTCGGATGTGGAGGTGAACTTGTTGGTTTGGCATACAAAATGTGACAAATATTTGATTTATTTACAGGACCAACAAAGCAAATAATGAATTTTTTAAAAGATCAACAACTACAGTCCAATTAAAACCAGCTTTAAGAAAGAAAAATAACCAATTACCAAATACAACCACAAAAGGAAATTCAATTATAACTAAACAAACTGACCAAATATAAAAAACATAAATGTGCTGTGTAAAAATAAATAAATAATTAAAACATGTAAATAAATGTAGAATTCTGTGTGCTTAATTCAACTGTGGACCAAACACAAAGCCAACACCCAATACAAAATCTATTTATATAAATAAATATACCTAAATACAATTTTATAAATTCTTCTAAGCTGTTGCAACATCAATGTGAGACTTGTGCATAATTAAATAAACCTTAAAATTAACAAATTAGCCATATGCTCGATGTAGTTAATTATACATATACGTACATATAATATAAATTATTTTTTAGTATTACATTTAAGTGTACATATGACCACCAAAAATGGTACACGATTTGGTAAAAGCTTTAATTAGTACATAAGCCATAGACAAAACTTTACTCTTGGTGTCAATTGACCAAAGATTAGTGTAAATATATGAAACGATATTAAACAAACAACTGAAAGTGTAACTCTAGACTGTGCTTAAACATATTTCCGATAGAAAAAAAAAAACAAATTAAAATAAAATAACCCAAACTAAAACAAATCAACTTAAGCTATTAAAGAATTTTAAAAAGCATTTAACTCAACTTAAACGTCGTCAGGTAACACAAATATAAATGTGACAATCCGTTTGGGAGCTGCTATTAAAATGATTGCTACACATATGATAAATATAATATGTGTGCTTTGCCTGCGTCTGTGTTGTGTTGTATAGTGTAATTGCTAGTTAAACATAGTGTGTTGCGACCATATCTCTCTCTCTCTCTCTCTTGCTCTGTCTGTCTTTCTATCTGTTTCACGTTTCCTACGAATCTTCATGCAACATGAGCAGCAACAACAATAATAATAATAATAACAACAACAACAATAATAATAATGACAGTCCTATAACAATTACACGCAACTACAAGTTAGTTGGTTGGTTTTCTCAAGTAAGTTTTCTTTATTTTTGTACAGCAATGTTTTTTTTTTTATTTTTAATATACATATGTATTACGCAATCCGCATGCACAGTGTAAACTGTCACCATTTGCTCTATCAATGCGAAATCAAATTAAAATGCCAATCCTTTTGACACACACACACACACACACACACGCACACGCGCGTACACACACATTCAGCCATTGTTGTCGTTCTTGTGCTTGTTCTTGTTGTTGCTGTGACCCGGCTACCATGCTGAATATCATCATGAGCATCATCATCGTCATCTGCGTCATCTTTCTCAACCTCATCTGAGCTCAGTCAACAGTTGCCTCATTGTAGTCGCTTACCTCTTATAAGTATATACAATATACCTTACACTCATATTTGTGCTGATTCCCATTCTTTGCTCAAGACGAGCTTCTTTTTTACTTTCCATTTTGACTTTATTTATTGCGTTTTGGTTCCTTTATGTTGGCCCAGGCAAGCGTTTGCCTCAAGTGTGCGTTCACAATGTGTGCCTCTTAATTAGCTGACAAGTTTTGCTTATGCCAAAGTTTTCCAGTTTTCCAACTTCACATAGTCTTAAAGCCATCGTAACTAAAGCCCTTCAGACATTTTACATATTCGAAACTTATGACGACTGGCTTATGGAATATTTATAGCCTGCCGGCTTGCATAAGAGTTTCCCAGTGAATGTATTTAAATATTTATAAATTGCCTACAATCTTGTTGACCTGTTTAATTCTAAATAATTTGAAATCCGCGCGAATTGCTGCGTAGCACGAAAAGTTGGCACAAATAGCACAGCTAGTTAAAGCTAACTATTTGAATATTTAAGAAAGTTTTGGCCTTAAAATGCTATTCAATGCAAATTTTTTAAAAGTTCTGAGGTGAAATTGTGACAATTTTATGTGCTTTAAAATATAACTTTCTTTAAAGTTTGTGGGGCCTTAAGCTTTTAATTCTGAATTAAATTAAATCAAGCCTTTTCTTTCTTATATATATATATCTCAATATAAACCTATGCAAATGGCAGCATGCTGTATTATCTAAATGAATACATTCTCTCATATTCTCTAAATTAATACATAATTACAGTTGAATTCAATTTTTAATTAAATACCACTTGCTCTTGTGTCTTACTTTAAATTATTATTAAAGATTACCTTATGCTTCATAAATTTCAATTTATTAATTAGTTAACAAACGAGTTAATCGCATACTTTAAGGACAATTTAATAGTTATGTTATGTTAACGCATCAAATTGAATTTAATTATACTTTGAAGTGGAATTATTCGCCATCAATCAATTGTATAACTGGCACAATTTCCAACACAAATACTTGGCAATTCAACACGCCATGAAATGTCAAACTCAGACATATTGAAATTCAAATTGATCAAAAGCCGCAAAAACAATACAAAGCAAAACAATAAATAAATAAATGTGGATGCCATAGAAAAGGGTCCAGCACGGGGGGCTCAAAGGCAGCTGTGCATGCAAAATATTATTTTCAATTTTCCGCTGTAATCAAATATAAATGCATGCAAAGCAAAAGACAAAAAAACAATTGGGAATGCTGGGCTGAAAGTTACGCTATATACTATATTTTAAACAAATACTATGCTAATTTTTAGATTAATTACAATATCATTCGATATATTGACAGAAAGTTAAGGAAAACGAAAATTAGGATTGGGAATATATACTCTACACATAAAGTCAAGTCCGTACAACTTTTAATTGTAAACCCATTTGATGGGTGAAAGGTATAGAAAAAAATGTACAGATTTTTCACACTTCAGCGAACGATTGTGGACTTTGGTAAAAAACAAATGAAATTTAATATTTTTAATTTGGCTAATTCAAGTATATTTCTGCCACTTCGCTTGTGAAATTGATGAATTATTTATTTTATTCACATTTATTTACTTAACACTTGTGTGTGCGTGTGTGTGACTATGCGTGTGTATGCCAACTAAATCAAAAGTTGTCTTCTCGTGTCTGCAATTAAATTGGGTACCTCGAATTGCAGTTGGGGGTTGGCTCCATAGTTTTGGGTTTAAGTGTGTGTGTGTGTGTGTGGAGAGCTTTGGTTGTTGGTGCGGCCGGCGGGTTGCGGGGTGTGGGACAATCAATACGGATTTTTAATGAAGAAATAAAGTGGCCATTTTCATGTTGTGCTGTGTCGTAAAAATTGTCTACATTTTTATTGCGCATCTTCATTTTTCGGTTGGACGGCAAGGGCGCATTTTTACGGCACGCCTCATCATGAGGACAATGAAATGACCTGTGTCCTGTACGCACACACACACCGACACACACACACACACACGCGCGTATTGAACGTGGCCTAAACGCCTCTGTTGAGCTGGAAAATATGCCCTTTTGTGGCCAGCTAACAACAGCAGGAGGCACAATTGGAGCTCGCACAAGTGTTTATTTCGGCATTTTGCTTTATATTCGCAGCGCACAGCAACACCCCTTGCCATTCTATCAGCACTTGTGTGTGCGTGCATGTGTGTGTGTGTGTGTGTGTGTGTGTGTGTGGGTGGGTGTGTGCTTCAACGCACTCAACCCAATGCGAGACAAAAGCCAGCGCGTCACAAGTCTTTGCTTTTGGCCAAGTTTTTGTGCCCTAATGATTATTGGGCTCATTTTTTCATTCTTTTTTTTTCGGCCATTGTTCGTGTCGGCTTGTTGGAATGCTGAAAATGTTGCCATTGTTTGTTTTTCTTTCATTTTTTTTTTTTGTTCGATTTTGCAATGGGCGTGAAATCATTTAAGACATCGGTGTGCAGCCCGCTGACGGAACTAACAGACCCAACGGAACCTGCTGTGTGCGGTTGATAAGCTGCATTTGGGTTTATTTAACTGTTTTGCTAATTTTTACATGTTTTATGGGGATAGAAAGGATTTCTTGGTATGGATTCTAACTTATTTGATCGATTCATCAGCACCTCTTATTTTATTCCTTCTGATCTGTAAGGCTATGCAACTCTGTCTGTCTCTTCCCTCTTTTAGTTTTCATCTTTCATGTGAATTTAAGATAATCGCAGAGATGCCATATCGCTGTTCTATGCGATTCTCATAATTTCCAGCACGTTCATTTTTGGTTATTCATATTTGGATTTCCCAAATAGATGCTCCCATTGTACGTGGTTAAGTAACTGTCATTTAATGGTATTTAAATGCAATTTATTACCATATTTACTGCCAATTTGTCGTTTTTTTGCAATTATTACTGTTTTTATTGAACGTATTTTTATTGATTAGTTGTCATCGGCTATTTAATGGTTAATTTGATGGGATTGACTTCATGGCGTATTTTTGTGGCGCTTTGTTACCTTTGTCTGACTAGATCGTATAGATGTCCCTTTTGAAGTCAATTTTGACTTTGATAGCGTGCTGCAATACTCGTTGCATTCCTCTGAGCTATAGCCTGGTTGGCAAGATAGCGTCATTCTGCATTCGCCCTCATGCCACACCCAAATTGGACGTAATGGCTGGCATATCAGGCGATCCTTTTCTCTTAAGTGGCACATATCAGTCGGATCCTGCTGGGTCTCCTGCAGTAAAACCAAACCCAAAAAGGCAAAAACTACCCAACCTTTTCTCATGATACGAACTGTCTATGAGGAACTAAATATGTTTTCTTTGGCTTTTTATTTTTCATTACATCTCGAGCCAAATCAACCGAAGCTGTTGCTAAAGGCATGTAATTAAATTTGTTACGGTATAGTTGTTTTATTTATTTAATTATTTTTTATTTAATTTTAGAAAAATGCTGCTTTTTCGATTTGACCTTTTTAGTTATGAGAATTGTATAGAAAGGCATTGTTAAGCCTTTTACTTGTGCATACTCCCCACCCTTTTAATGTTGCTTTCTTTTGTCTATTCTATCATTCTCCATTTTTTGATTTGGCGTTCTTATTATACTTCTTTTTTTTTCCCACACTTTAATTAAGTTATAAGAATTGCCTAGAAAGTCATTGTTATGACTTTCACTTGTGCTTACTATTCACACTTGTAATATCACTTCCTTTTCCCTGTTCTATCTTTCTCCCTATTTCGATTTGGCAGCTTTCTCCTCTTCTTTTCTTTCCCACTCTTTAATTAAGTTATGAGAATTGCATAGAAAGCTTTTGTTATGTGGTTCACTTGTGCTTACTCTTCACCCTTTCAAAGTTGCTCTTCTATGCGATTCTCAAAAAATGAATCGGTGTAGTTGAAAGTGTGTTTTGTGGGAACAATTTAAACATCTGATATGAAAATGCAATTTATTGCTGTATTTATTGTAAATTTAACGGGTTATCGTGATGGCTTCTGTGGTGCGCGGTCTTCTTGTTCTGCCAGTGCTACCGCCTTGAAGATTTTGAGTTGTCGTTGTTGACACCGTTGTGGACCGTTTGTAACAGTGTTTTCTGCACTCCTCTTCTGTGTAGCCCGCAGAGCACGTAAGCCCCTTTACGCATCTGCCGTCGCGCAACACCCAAACTGGTCCTAAAGGTTCGCATAATGAGCGTGCGAACGGAAAGATTTTTATATTCAGATTGCAACGGTCTACTACCCTGTCTCCTATTCTGGACAATTTCGTTAAATATATTTTTGTCTTCGTACATGTTACTTACTAACTTCGCCTCAAAGAAACCTGCTGCAGCAAAACAAAGCCAGTGAGCGCACATAAAACCCAGCGCGATCTCATCGTATAATGCATCTTTGAATACATTAAAAACTGAATTGCAACGTTTTTAACTTTTAAAGTTTCAGCCAGCGGTTTCTGAAAGCGTGAAATTGCTTTGTTCTGGATATTTATATAATGCCATATTTCTCTTACACGCAATCCAAAGACCATATCAAGAAATGCTCAAAATTTGTATCGTTGGACTCTTTATTAGTGATTTCTCCATCACAACAGCAGATAGTTATTTAATTTTGTTTCAAAGAAGAGTCAAATACAACTTTAAGTAACATTTAAAGCTGTGCGACTGATCATTTAAGTTCGCCCCACTTAGATATCTATTAAGACTTAATTTATTACACTTTGCGCACTTGATTCGCTTAGCTCAGGCACCGAAATGTGCAGAGTGAAAAGCGCTGGGAAATTATAAAGCTATTAAAGACGGACAGAGTTTGCCTAATTAACAAAATGTGCAGAGTGTCTCATGCTCTCAGCTAGCTAATGGAGATATAAAGTCTTCGGTTCTTAAATACCCTGTAACTTACATACTTGAGTAGCTCTTTGATGCAGTAAGTAATATTGTTTAAGATAAACTTCACCTTACTAGCAGAGCTTTTAAAAGCTCATTAAAACAAAGCTCTTTAAGCATGCAGCTTTTACTGATTAATGCTACTGCGCAGTTTGTTTGGGCAACAACTTTTCACACTTTTGAGCTTTTTAAAGCACATGAAAGTTCAAAACATGAATAAATGAATACAATTAGAGCACTTAAAGCTTTAATAAGCTTTAGATATAAATCGATAAATGTGATTTTCATTTAGATTTTAAATTTTTGAACCAAAGCAAAAAGTTTTAGATTTGGCTTAATTGCTTATACATCTTCCAGGGCATCTTATTTGCGGTTTATCCAGCTGTAATGCCATTTCAAATTGTTATATTGACTTTCTCCTCTTGCCCCTCTCTTTGACTTTCCCTCTCTCTCTTACTGACCGTCTGGGACGCGATTGGTAATTAAGTTTGGGACCGCCGCCGCCGCCGCGACGATGTCTTAAGTAAATTTATGTAAATTTCGATTAATTTATTTTTTGACACAAACTCCCCATCCATCTATTCGATTATGGGCTGCCTCATTAAGTGCTGAGAGTCTTGTCATTAGGCAAAATTATTGCTGTCTAATTGCACGGATGCTCGTTGTTGGTGTTGACAAGCGAATCGGTCGCATTTGGTATGTATTTAATGCCTGATTGCAACCTGATCAATCAATGCCGAACATTTTTCATTCTTCTGCATTTATATTTGGCTCTTTGCCCAATTGATTTTCCTGCCAGCTGCTATGTGGCTAACTAAATGAACTGTGTGTGCGACGGCTTAAATGACAAACAGGAATTGCATTGAGGCTTTCGGCAAGAATTTCCGCCCATTTCCGTTTTGGCTTCTTTCTGTCTTTTGGTTTTTTTTTCTGCTTTTTTTTTTTTGGAATGAATATCGTTTTAAAGACGCCAAAACTGCTCTCGAAATGCTCTTCATATTTCAATTTCCGGTCCACACAACTTGTAAGCAGCTGTCCAACAATGCCCTAAATCTACAGCTATCTCATCTCTCTAGTTCTCTCTATTTTCCTCTTTATCTATCTCTGTCTTGTTGTGTGGCGCTTAAAATTGATTGATGCTGCCGGAAGTTGATTTTGCTTTGCAGTTGCCCTGGGGGCACATGTCGTTTTGATTTGGTATTCAATACCCTGTACTCCAAAACAAATGCCAAGATGGGTGTATTTAACTTCTCAATGATACAGTCGCAGCTACCGACTATCGACTAAAGCACCTGCAATCGATTGGTTATCGATAATAAGTCGATATCACTTCGGAACCATTTTATATATTTTTTATATATTTTATACTTTATTACCTGCACATGTAAATACATTAATTAATATTATTAGCATTGATTGTAATTTCAATCGATAATTTGTAGCACACAAAAACGAACATAAATTGTAGAGGTTATAATTTGGCTTACAACAGGGTATATCCTAGTCGAGCAGTTCATATTTGAGCATTCCCAGTTGTTCGATTTGTATTTATGTTTGACTTTTGGCTTTTTGCATGCACATTTTATATGTATGTATGTAGTGTAATGACATTGAATGAGAGCAGCTCCCAAAATGGCAGCACACACGCACACAGTTACACGCTCACACTCTCACACTCTCGCACACACACACACACACACACAGTCGCATGCATAGCGCTTAAATCAAAATGCTTTACGTTCTCAATTCTGTTGCATAATTCATGCTGCTTCCATATCAAATGCAACAACAAATGCAACGCAACAACAACAATAAGCAAAATGCTTTGTTCCTATGACTGAAATGCAAAATTATGCGCAACAACAACAACAACAACAACAATAACAACAACAACTATAAATAACGCGCGCGCTAAAAACCAACATTTGGAAAATTGCAAATTTTTGATTGCGACTACAAAAAAAAAGAGAAAAACAAAAACAGAAAAAAACTCGTTTGGCCTGCTTCGCTGCACAACATCCTGCTAAACCCTACCCGACCCCAATTCTTCAACTCAACCACGCCCCCAGCCCGACCCGTTAACAAACGCCCCGCAGAATGTCAATGTTCTTCTTTCGCTTGCATAATCTCCAGCGCGCCGAGGAGAACAAACGCAAGAAGCGCGCCGAACAGCAGCGTCAACAGCAGCGCCAGCGGCGCGGCGCCAAGGTCTTCAAATGTGTCAGCGATTCCACTGGCCACCTGACCCTGGCGCCCTCGCGCCTCTTCGAGCGGACGCCAATGAGTCCATCCGACAGTCTGGACGAGATTGCGCTGCAGATACCAAGGTGAGTTAACATCGAGTGTGCCGAGCCTCAGGCTGCGTGTGTGTATGTGTGTGTGAGTATTATGAGTACATTGTTGAAGCTCAGCAATACTTAAACACCAATACACACACACACATAACACAACACACTCACACACACAGACTTTGCTACACACAACCAGCTCAGTTACAAGTGTGCAATTGAAGAACATTTGTCCCCGTGCGACTTGTGATTGTTTTGCTTTACCTGTGCTCCGGGGCAACCAGCCAGGCACACAGTGGCTCACAATCGTATACAACTAAACATCATTTGTGCTTTGGCTTATATAACATAATAAGTATATAACTTAACCATTATTCTATTGTGTGATATACGTGGAAATCTGTGGACGTGATTTGTTACGAAATAAAAGTGGTAAACTTTCAAAGAGCATACCTAAAACCTAAATACCCTAACTATTAAGCTATATAAAGGTGTGACAGCGAAATCAGTAAAGATTTTGGTGGTCCCTTGCAAAAAATTGACGGCGATTTTTAGAGATTTACTTTTTTGGAGTTGTGTATCCGAAACAACAAACTGGTCGAGCTGATTCCTAAGAAAGTATTTCTTTAATTAAAACAAATATATTTCTAGCATATGTTTTTCTCTTATTCAAATTGAACTTCATCATCAAACACAATTTATTAACCAATTCAATAAAACAGCATTTCCTTAAAATTTGAAATGATTGGCATCTTTATGGTGAGATGGGTTACGGAATGTGTATACAATCTATTTTTCTAGAGAATTTGGTAAAATATTATACAATACTATCAAAATTAAAAGTGTTAACATAATGAAGAATACCAGTAACTCAATCAACTTTTCATTCAATAATTGGTTTTATTATTACGATTGGAAGAAATTTCTGTGTCATATCCAATAAAATAGGGCAATATAAGCTGATGCAGAAGTATGATAATAATAGTGCAGAGCTATTCATTTCTAGTAGTCAAGTTCCTCGTTATATTATTATCCAAACCAGGCACAGCTGGCCTTTAATGTCAGATCCTGTGTTTCTTTAACATGTCCTTTAATATAAAGGGACGCAAGGAAACGCGACAGTTTCTCACTCTCCGTATTGAGTTCCTACTTTAACGGACAGAACTAATAAATTCAAAGCGCAAACAAATAAAAATCGTTTTAATTCGCTTACTTTAATTTATCGCTGATGGAATTTTTTTTAAGATTCCCTTCGGCATTTAGCGGGAAATGTCATCTACAAATTTATAATTTATGCTCCATTTAATTTATAAATAATTTAAGACAAAAAATGGTGAAATGAAAAAGGAAAATTGAATGGCATTACCCTGTAAAGGGCTTGAAAATGTTGTGTTGGAAAA